TGATGCACTATTATGTCTAGCTGCGATGACATCATCTACCGAAACATTCTAAATCGCCTCTTGTGTGTCACCAGTGGAGCCATGTAGCAGAGCAAACATGATAACGTTGCGATATCTTGTGTGAGCATGTGACAAAAAGCTCCTATGGTTTCAACTTTAGGGTACGGTAGTAACCGAAGGTAGCTTTTCAAAGCATATTGCATTTACTTTTTCAGGGTGCACTCACGCTTACCGGCGCATTTTCGAAACCCTGGAGGACTTTGCTTTTCATTGATGCAGGAAATAACTGAAAACTTCCTGTCAGTACCCCTTTAATTAAAGATGGTGGACATCATAATGTCTTTCAAGCTCTCACTTATACGATTTGACGATCACAATACCCGAAAAGTAGTTTTTGCTCAGGGGAAATGGCATAGGAATGCAACTTGGTCCACCGCTTACGTTAACATTTTACACGTATTTTCTATGGGAGGTGAATACTAATGCATAGCTAGCAGCTTATTTAATTTTATAATGCGCTGCGATGATTCTTTATTATGAGCATTTGAATTTTGGTGGAGTTTTGCTGCAGACCTGCTATTTCTTTGGACTCGTACTATAATGTCCCTCTGGAGTATCATTTCGTGCCCTTTATCTAATTCAATTTAACTATTGTGAAAGTATATAATAATTACAAAAGTGTTGTTGCCAGTAATATTGATGTTTTATAGGCATACTCAGTCATTAATCTATCAGTGTAGCTTCAATTGTTCTTTGTTTTTTTTTTTTTTTACTTTTGTGTCCCTTTAAACCTGCGTTTGTAGTGTCTTGATTTCTTGTTCATTTTGAAACTTAGCCGTATAGGTCACCTTGGTGGCAGAAATCTTAAGCTCCATGCCTCGTAGTAGTCACAGTCTCATCACTAGTTATGAGTATTGTTGAAATGTGTCAGATGAATCATAGGTCTCTGAGGTGTGGACCTCTAGCTACTAGTTTTTGGTAACTGCAGCGCAAATGAATGAGAGTCTAGAACTAAACAATTTTTAATACAAATTGTGAGGCAAGCTAGAAAGCAAGTACAAGCATATTTGCAAAACGTCTGTATAGTAACAACTACCTGACACACAACCCACTGTTGTAGCTTAGGTAGGATGTCATGCTGGTAAGCTCAAGGGTGTGGGTTCAATTGCTGGCCATGTTAGCTGCATTTTGTGGGGTGAAATGTGAGAACACTCGTGTACCTAGATTTAATGGACCACAGGTAGTCATAATTAATCCAGAGAGGCCCACTACGAGGTGCCTTATAATCATATTGTGGTTATGGCAGGAAAAATCCGAGCAACTGTCATTATTAACAGCCAACTGGCAAGACAGGTAATAATCACATGCAGCGCAGCTTACAAAATAGAGTGAACGAAAGTCCTTCAATATTCACTGCGCCAAGGAATATGCATATAGACGAGAGAGCACTGATCAGCATCTGCCAAAAAAGTTTCGCAGGCTCTTGTTGCTTTCTATCCTTGTTGCTTTCAAACTCGGCAGGGCAACTTATTAATTAAAGGAGTCATTTGCACAAACAGAACAAGTGGTGCCTTGATACACGCAAGTTTGATGGAAGCGAGACTAACTTGCCTTTTTGTTCTATGAGCACCATTTAGATTAAACTGGCTTGTTGTACCCTTTTGCAGTCTGATGTTTCTGGCCATGACGCACCCCTAGTGTTGGCTTGGTTTCCGGAATCTTGAAATGCAGTGAAATGGCGTGTTGCGAGGTCAAGATGACAAGTAGGGATAGAAAGGGCATGCAACAACCACATTATTTGTTTATAGCAGCAAGCGAGTGAAAAACAGCAATCGAGTCATGTTTCACAGGCAAAGATGCATGCCTGTGAACTTGATATGCCTTAGCAGAAGCATTAACAGAATACACAAAAAAGAGGTTAAAAAATTGCAAGCCCACAACAGATGACAGAACAGCACTATATCTGTATTGGCACGTGTGTTGCACGGTCGCTCAGCATGAGAGAGTATAGTACGCAGGGCGACAATGCCCCCCAGCAATGCAGGGAGGGCGCGGTCGCTCTGTACTTTTTATTACAAGTACCAGGATAGCAAGAGGTGAAAATATGCTCCAGAAGTACTTTGGTTTGGGCTAGCTGGTTTGTAGTACTCATTTTGAAAAGGGCAGTGCAACGACACAAGGAAAGAAAAATAGAGAGACAAAGAGCTCTCTTTGTTTCTGTCTTTCTTTCCTCGTGTCGTTGCGCTGACCTTTTCAAAATGAGTGAAAATGTGGGCTCTACAAAGCTTCGACAAATGGCGCAACCAGTAGATTCACGCTAAATCATGCCAGCTTTGTGTTCAGGCACAGATTTGTGAACGTACAAGGTGAAAGTAGCAGTATGTTTGTGACACTGCAGTGAGGGAAATGTGAAAAGATACTGGTACGGTCAGTGACAGTGGAAGGTTTAATTAACCCTCAATGTTTGTGTGTCATTGAAGAGTGAGGCAATGAAGAGTTTTTTTTTTAGGGTAAGAAAGCATAGCAAATAGCTAGTATTGTACTGCATTGTTTTGTATTCTTTGGAAGTTGTTTACACATGCAAATATCTAACGGAATGAAACTTGTCAATTTTGTGCCAAGGGCCACACATGCATTCATTGCTGCTCTATTTAGTTTGTGCTGCAGCTATGTAATATCCGCTTATGCACTTACATCAGAGTCAAGATCACCATTAGTCACTAGTTTGATAGTCACATAACATGGTTATCGTTAATTCAACATACTGGTTGGTTTATGTGAAGTTTTAATGTGCATCACTTTGTGAGCTCTGTTCATTGTGGGCACCATGTTGGACTTGAGTTCTGTGCTGCATAACTTGCAAAATTTGTCTGCAAAACTTCATTTAGAATGGTGTTGTAGCCTACTGCTGTAATTTTTAGAATCAAAAGAACATCCCACTTGTTTTGTTTCGGCCAGTGCTTTTGCTCTGTGCCTAAAGGGATTCAAGACATCATCATTTGAGGGAAAACTTGCTTCAGTGTATCAGTGGAACATCTGCAGAGCAATTTAGCTGCTGTATGCAAGTATTGCATACTTGCATACATACTTGCATACTACTTGCATACTGTTGTTGTATGCAAGTACGTAACTAAACATGTACCATGAAGAACTACATTGGCAGAATTTTTTTTTTACTTGGAGTGAGGTGGGTCACCTATGAAAAGGGAATTTCTTTTGGGGAGGAGGCAGGTGAGGGGCAGGGAACCTATGCATCATGTTTTGTTTGTGTTTGCTTTAGGGGGCAAAGGAGCCAGCTCCACTGTAAATCAAGGTACACAAAGCAGTAAAGCTGCCTTGCAGGTACCTCTACTTCTGTAAACAAGTGGATTGGACTGAACTGCTACCTCACCTTTGGTTTTCTAACGTAACTGCTTTGACTAAATTAATATGGGCTAAATGTAATGGGCAAGGTCTTTGGCCATGCTCAAGTCTTGAAAACTCCACTGATGCTTATTGACTTAGCTTATCTTATATCCTACATTTCTTGGAATAGATGGTTTCCAAATAAACATTTTGCTTTTGTTGTGTTCTACAAAGTCGAGGCCTTGGGCCAAGGCCTCCTTGTCAATGGAGGCCACATGTCCATTCATTGACAGTGTGACAACACTTGCTGTCTTTTGTAAGCTTTCTTTGAATTTACTATAAGCACCGTTAATATGTTTTTGCTTAATATGACTATTGCTCAGTCTCTCTGGCCATTTGCTTCATGCAGTTGTCTTAAGCTTAGTAGATCAGCAAGTGAAGTGCAAAAAGTAGGCACAGGAACAGGCAAATGTTCAGTTTTTTTTTCTTCTAAACTTTTAAGTAACTCTTAACTCCAGGATTTCTTGCACTTCTATTATGTGGCACATTTGAGATGCATTTGAGGGTATACATGGAAAACAGTTTGTAGGCTACGCCTCTGTTCCCAGTTTCAATGCTGTATGTGCCGTGAAAATTGTACGCTTGTTTAATCTAGTGAGTTGCAGTCAGTTTTAATATTTTTTCTGATTTCTTTTTGCTAGCATTGGGTTCTTTTGTGTTCGCGTTCCTTTTGCCGTACTTGTGGAGCAAGACGTCCTCTTCATAGATTATGCATGCTCTTGAAGGTTTTGCTGCAACCATCGCTATCTGATTAAAATATCGTATGTGTGCCAACGCCTCCACTCATAGCCTGCGTGGTGGGTGCCACTGTGTTTTTTGCATTTTTAGCAAGACCATTGTTATCAAAAGTTGCTGAGCTTTCTTCCTTTTGTTAAGTGGAACAGGCATCCCAGTTGTTCATAAAAACTGATAAGCAGTTATCCATACTCTATCTGCTGCTCGTCTGGGAAAGGCTTATATGCATATGTGCTCTAGAACTTCGGTCTTTGGATGGCGTGACCAAACTGTGCTGCTACATGGCTTCATTTTATCTTGTGCGAGGTATCCGGTTAGAGTGACGCATCCACCCAGCCTCTGTGTAGTTGTCCATACAGGTGAGATCAAGCTTAATGGCTTAATGGTAATACTTCATTACTTCTATTCTTCGAGCCTAGTTTTTACCCCAAGTTGGTGATACGTCACCTCTGTACAGGATGTACAAACTTGTGAATACATCGAAGAAATGCTTTGACTGCAGGATATTCAAATCCTGTGTGATGCTTAACCTATGGGCTAAAATGCAACAAAAGGATGTACAATATATTTTTTTTTTGCATTTTATATATGTGTACTGACCACAACATTTTACTGGTACTGTGGCACAAGAATCCACATAGTTTTTGGCTGTTGTACTGCTGAATTCGAAAGAGGTACGGATAGTGCTGAGAAGAGGTCAGTCCTAATATTATGTTTGCTTTTTCTGGAGCTTTGAGCAAGCATAAGGCCTAGTTTAGGTAGGCTGAGTTTAGAATTTTTGTGATAAAATTGTTTTTTTATTTATGAAACCAGCAAGATGGGAGAGTTGGTGATTGTGCTTCATGCCAATTTTTCTATAGGCATGAGTTGCGGTAGCATGTCGCCTGGAGACGTGAGAGGGATCCACCAGACAAACCAGCATGCAAACCCAACTACAGCACTCGGTAAATCGCTTTGCACTTTTGTAGTTTTGGAGTCCATTTCATGTACAACAATGAAACTTTTCTACTGATGTGCACATTCCTAGGTATTGGTTGCAGCCCCATGGGGAGTAGTGACATGAGAACGCTGCATCCTGTCATTGACTCTGACCGAGGTGGGTGTTACTTCTGCTGTTTAATCTTTGGATTTTGCTGTCACTTTTCAAACTTCCAACTTATCTTGTTTAAAATGGTTTCCAATGTCACTTATTGCAGTGGTCAACCTCCTTATACTAGTATTCATAAGCATCACCACTCTTGCTTGCATAGGTCGGCAGAATAACTAGGGGCTTATTCATACCCATATGCACTCGCACTTGTTGGCATTTGTTTACATTCTTACTCGTGCTCCCCAACACTCAGTGGCATTCTTGGTAATTTCCGCTTGCTCTTACTAGTACCCTCTCATACTCATTACTCTATCAACTTCCACTCACTTGTACAGACTTGAGCCCATTCACATTCCCCAATTGTCAGTGGCTTTCGTTCAACTCATTCTAATTGGCACTCACTCTCAATAATACTTATGTTCCCTCACCCCTTTGCTTTTTAAAAAGGGTTCTTCTTGTATGCATGCAATGATCCTGGAGCTAGTTTGAGTCATTGTATCCTAAGTGAGTAGGCTGACCGATACTTGCCTCTGCATGGTATTATTTTTTCTGTAGTAATGTCATCTGCAACTCATTGATGAAATAATTCAGGTGCAAATAAAATTATTTTATAAATCTTTACATATTTTGTATTTAGCTTGTGGTTAACATAAAATACAAAGTTCTCAACGATGTGTGCGCACTTTGCATATTTCTAAAACTCTGGTCATATAGTTAGTCTTTCCAACATTTTTTGTAAGTGTTATGCACTTTCAGTGATGGAAGTGCTGCTCTAATTGCTCCAAACTGCTCCAAAAGATAAATGCTACTCCAAAGTGCAATATTTGCTAGTACCTTCTCCAAACCTGCTCCAAAATGATGTTGGCAAACTAAAAAGAATGAAGTTGAACCATAGGACCATCCTTTGAGCCTAAGCGAAACCAAGAGCAAGTTGTATACACACTATTATCATCCTAGTATGCAACTCAGTGGCGTAAATCCAGAAAATTCACAAGGGGTGGCACATAGCAGGCCATGTTGACTAATTCATATTTTTATTATGGGTTGTATTTTTATTTATATGATAATTAAATACTGCTTTGAAAGAGAGTTTTAAAAACAAGCACGGTGTCCGAGCTGGAGCAATCACACTGTTCTATTCAGTCTCTTGTTTTTCTTTTTTCACCTTTTTGCGATTTTCATAGTTCACACAGCTGAAGGGCATTTAACACAGGTACACAGCAACAGATAAAGAGCCTTTTAAAATGTTGATTGTGCTATACCTAACTGTTAGCCCAATTATATCACATGCTCAAGCTGAATTTCAAGGGGGACACTTGCAAGGTCTGTCCTCCCCAGCCTGAACACGGAAACTTCCGGACTCCTTTGACCCTGCTCCGCCCCCATAATTTACACCTATGATGCTACTCTACAGCTTGTACACAAGCTGCATACTAGCATACGGCATGTTTTATAACAAATATCATTATTTATTAGATGCTTAAGTGATATTTTAGACTGCAGGAGCCGTTATGAACATGCGTCTGTTTTGAAAACGCTAATAACAACCCTAAGCTGTAGCATTTTTTCTGCTTCAAAGACACTTAAGCCTGCTCCAAAGCACCATTTTTCCTGCTCCAGAATCTGCTCCAAAAAGCAAAATGTCGCTTTCATCACTGCACTTTGCACTAATCTAATTGGAATGGTTAGAGTTAATATTACAGCTACGATCTTGATATTTGTTTGCCATTACAGGTGCATAAACTGGAGAAATTTAACTGTATGAGATTTCACTCCATAAAGGAAATATTTAAAAATTTCATAAGTGAACTTAGCTAACTATGCATGTTACACCAAATTTAGCTTAGCATGACTATACTCAGTCATTTACTATGGTCCACTTTTTTAAAACACATTCAGTTCAAATTAAGCAGTGATGTGATTGCTGCACAGTTGCTCCTAACTGCACCAATAGGTGAAACCTACTACATCCTGCTACATTTCAGTAGCAATCTCATAAGTTGTGCCAGGCGGGCTTCAAGACATCATTTTTGCAGTTTTAGAGAGAGGGAAGAAAAAAAACAAGATGGCAGGCGCTCGAATTACATACATTAGTTACCGTTGTCATTTCTTGTGGCAATTGGAGCAGATAGACGAGAGCTTTCTAGTTATGTGCTTAACGGAGAATGTACTTAACAGAGAATATTATTTATTGAGCTAATGGTGTTAAGTAAGTCAATTGAAGTTTCCACCCACAAGTGAATTGCAGTTGCTGCCAAATTATTTATTGAGCTCACAATAATGTTCATTTCTCACCACCATTCGTGTTATAACTTTGCCCATTGCAACCCTCTTGGCCAGCTGCAAAGAGATGCACACAATATCTCATAAATAGTGACTTATGCATGGAACCATGTGCCTTGCCGTAAACTTTTGTGTAGGGAAAATAGATGGCGGCTCATGAAATAATGTAAGCTGGTAGATTGTGTGAAAGCTTAATGTGCTAACTTAGACAGCGATACTGAGGAGGGGAAAGTGGGACATGAAGTTGCCATGCATTGTGCCAGGCATGATCTATAAATAATTGTATTTATGAAAATGTGTTTATAAATGCAAATTTGATTTCATCACTACTGTATGTCTACATTCAATTCAGTCGTTAAACCTGCATGCTGAGTTCACTAACCAGAAAAGGGTGGGGCGGTGGGGGGGGAGGATGAGAGAGAGAGTCTCTACTACATGGTGCCAACTACCCATTTTATCTAATTACATTGTCGAGTCAGAATGCTGTGGGTTCAGAAATAATCGAATATTTTTAAAAGCAGTAATTTTTATTAGGCATGTTTTTTATATGAACATTGATTGCATTAATTACAGCAAGCATTGCAAGTATACAATTACGGCTTTTCGTTTTAGTTGAGACATTTCAAGTCAAGTCAAGTCAAGTCAAGTTTATTAAATCGTTCAGTTGAGTTACATGGTTAGCGTTATTACAGCAGGAGGTCCCAAAGTTTCAGAGAAACTGACAGGGGGACCTCCTTTGGCTACATGGATGGGGTAATTACAAAAAATACAGCAATAGTATACGGACTTCTGAGTAATAATGAATAATCTTGATTAACAATAAAAATATGATCAATACACAACATAATGGTAATACTCACTATTGAAAAATAACAAGGAAATAGTCAAAAGCAAGTGAAGACAAAAACAATATTGACACAAAAAAAGCCTCAGGACCAGATAACATTCCAAATTTGTTTCTCAACCGATATGCGGAGTGGATGGCAAAATATCTGTGCATCATATTTGATAAATCCCTAGCAACATGCACCATACCGGATGATTGGAAAAAAGCGAAAGTTAAACCGATACACAAATCAGGCCCAAAAGATGACGTAAATAACTTCAGGCCTATATCTTTTACTTGCACTTGCAGCAAACTTCTTGAACATATTATCTTAAAACATATCAATATATATCTTGAAAACGAACGCATCCTGTCGCCTTCTCAACACGGTTTCCGTAGGGGGCTTTCTACAGTCACGCAACTAACAGAACTAACCCATGATTTATCCTTAAGTGTGGACAACCAAAAACAGGTCGACCTTATCCTATTGGACTTTGCAAAAGCCTTTGATAAGGTTTCGCATAAAAAACTAGTACAAAAGTTAGAATGTACCTTAGGCAATGGCTCCGTTACGAAATGGATAAAAAACTATCTTACCGGTCGCACACAATTTGTTGATTTCAATGGACAAGTATCCACAACAGTTCCCGTCAAATCCGGTGTTCCCCAGGGTTGTGTTCTTGCTCCGACCTTATTCCTAATTTTTATCAATGACCTACCCTGTCAAATTCCCGTCCACGTCAGACTTTTCGCGGATGATTGTATAATTTATCATGAAATAAACTCTGCAGAAGATCATCTTGCCTTAAACAAAGCCCTCGAAATAGTATCAAACTGGTGTTCAGATTGGCAAATGATACTTAATGTTAAAAAATCAGCTATAATGACAGTAACAAGAAAAAGGGAATGGTCAGAGTTCTCATATACCATCAATAGTATCCCACTTCCTAGAACAAGTCATCATAAGTACCTTGGCCTCACCTTTACTAGCGATCTGAGATGGGATGCCCACGTTTCTAACGTTACAGCTACCGCACTGAAACGACTTTTTTTTCTGAGACGATGCCTTCGACTAGCACCTTCTGAAATTAAACTGTTAGCCTACAACACGTACGTGAGATCTGTTCTTGAATATGCGAACATTGTTTGGTTCCCGTACACAAAAAAACATATTGCGAAGCTAGAAGGCGTGCAAAGAAAAGCTGTTCGATTTATCTTTAACAAGTTTAAGCAAACAGACTCACCAACTGAAATGCTCGAAGAAGCGGGCATGCTAACGCTGCAAAAACGAGCAAGACTAGCACGCCTACGATTCATGTACCAGCTACGCCATAAGCAAACCAACATCGATGCCTCCAGGTACATTACACTTCAACAATCACGACCCACCCGTAAGAAGCACCCCGAAATGCTACAAGAATACGCATTCCGTACGGAATGTTTCAAACACTCATTCTTCCCAGCATCAATAAGGGAATGGAACAGCTTAGCAGCTATGATTACTAGCAGCAATTCTTTAAATATTTTTTCACGTCTTGTTGAAGAACATTTGCGTTTGGAACCCTGAAAATTGCGCTATTGTGGTCATCTTTGCAAAATCCATTGTTTTAGACTGTGTTATTTTGACTCTTCCACACTGTAATCATTTGGATATAGTACAATTACTGTTAGAACTTTGTTGTTAGAATTTGGTTAGAATTTGTTTGAATTTGATTGTTAGAAATTGTGAGAACTTGGTAGCATCAATGTAACGCGTATCCTAAACGATGTATAACTTACGGATGTTTTTATTGTGTGCTTTTATTGTGTGTTTTCCCGATGTCCTTTCTGCGAAAATCCCGACAAGGGATTGGCAGTATTTTTTTTAAAATAAAAATATTAATGAACTCTACATGAC